TCGTGAGTCCCCATTTGACTACTCATTCCTTTCCTATTGTGATTTTTGTGATTTTGCATTGGTTACTTTTGCTTGTTAATTTATCCGAACACGCTGGTTAGGTCCTAGTCCGCTACACACGCCCGCCCAACGACTGTAAATATGAATTCCGCTACGGCGCTGTCCAAAAACCGAAGTATATTAGGCCAATGATGGCAGGGCAATTGCACAGTTTCACGCTGGTTAGGTCCTAGTCCGCTACACACCCCAGCCCAACGACTGTAAATATGAATTCCGCTACGGCGCTGTCCAAAAACCGAAGTATATTAGGCCAATGATGGCAGGGCAATGCCATGCACAGTTTCATAGCACACTTACAACCATCCCTTTCCTTCTGTCGACCGTGCCTTTTGACCAATTCATCCCATCAGCTGCACATTCGAACAAGCTCCCCACTTGACCCACGTTGCCTCCATAAACCTTTCGTTCAAATTTGACCATTTCTCTGTGTCTGTGCTTCCCGTGGAATTTAATAACTTTCTATACAGTTCTTGTTGCCATCATCTCGCTTCTCCAAGGAGTATTACTCCCGATACCACAACAGCGACACCATTGGGTCTCTGCAGTTTCACTGTACACCGTTTCTGAAATTCTTGTCACCACCCATCCACTTTACTAATCCATAGGCCTGGATATAAGCCCAACATTCCAAGGCCACGAGACTCCAGCGGTGGTTTCAAGTTTTATTCCAAATTGACCGACTGGGATATGCCAACTCTACTGCTCTACCAGATCCGTTATTCTGGTTCCTCATTTTTCACCGTTTACAATTTTTCTTGTCATGTGTCAAGCAGGAAGCCTCTTGTTTTGCCCCCTGGCTTTGTTCTTTGCCCGCTAGCTTCAAATCCTAAAGATCCGATCTGGTCTAGGCTGTGCTTCCCTGTCTGTGCCGCTTTAGTGGTGATCACGCCTACATCAGACACTGCACACCGCTTATGACGCTGTCCCTGTTCCTAGCACCCCTGTATTCACAATCCCTGCCAGTCATGCTCTTATTCTGACTATAACATGATCATGCCAAAAGGTATGCTACCAATAAGATGGGAAAATCTCTATTATTATTACATGACACGTGCACTTCCGCTGTTCTTCCGGCTTGTGCATTGAACGAATACGTCTCTTAATAACGGGAGTCGACAGTGTGATGTCTATGACGTATCATATGATTTGGTACTGGAGTGGAGCACGTGCTTATGATTTCATCGCCGAGTAACAGGATGACACCATTACAACAGCTTAGAGGCCAGCCTTTTGTCATTCTCGCAAGCTATGGATGGACGTGCTGGGTTCAGGTCACATATATAAAGACGTTGAAATGAATACACCTAAGACCGTGCTCCGTGGTAAACCGCTATGTACTGTACAATCAATCTATAAATTTCTCGCTGTTCAATTGGTTAGATATCTCTCTCGCAGTGAAATCTTTATATGGATGCCTCCGTGATCTGCAAACTTTGCTTGGGTCGATTGTTGGATATAGCTTCTTCAGCCTTCGTGTATATTAGGGCGTATTCCATTTTGCTACGGCTTTACGCAGCCCCAAATTTTCGGTTCAATTTGCTATTGACGAACATTGTTGACGGTGATTTTACAATGGAAACCAGGGCACTCACTTCGTAAGGTGCGCGTTCGCAAACACGCCTCTGCGGTAGGCTACTTGAGTTGAATTTCCAGATCATCTCGAGTCTTTTAGCCTTGTAAAGTTTTATTAGTAATTTTACCCCGAGAAGTCCCAGCAAAGTTTCACTGGGCTGCAATTATCATTTTCTGACTGAGATATAATTATTTAAGCTATACATTCTTGAAATTGACACTTTCCAGTTCAGCGTTTTTGGCAGAGGTGGAAAGAAACTGTAAGCCGCAGGCCCGTACATCATAATCGGCTTCTGATGCTAATTGCAGTCCCGGGCTAAGCAGCGGACCGAAAATCCTTGACAACGAAATATTTTGGCCCCGATTGAGATTCCATCTGACGACGCGGCTGATAACAAACCGTTTCAATTGACGTGACTGAAACTCACCCACCAGTGCATGAGCCGCCGTAAAGGTTATTGACGAGAAGTCTCTTATCCACATGGCCGGTTCATCTTATTTCATAAAGAAACGTAGCGCCTGAGTGTTTTGTGGATGAAGCGGTTTCTTTCAGTAATTTATGAACCGATTTTCTAACGGCTATAAATGATTGAGGACTGAGTTTCCACAAACCTGGGGACCGTTCGGACGTTCGATATGAGGAAACCAATCAGGCCAACGGGCATGCAGAAACAGAAATCAAGAGACATCCCGCGGTTACTATCGACACAAAGCCACTTTAAGCAGTAAAAAACGTTCCCGCAGCTCGCGCACAGGCTGTTAACCTTTAGCACAAACAAATACGTAAATTGTTCAGTTTCGTCGTTTTGAACAGTCGTCCTCCTGTCCTGGCGCAATTATTCATGTGAATCCACACCAAAGGGGGGGGGGAAGCACTGGACTCGAGTTTCGCTCTTGTTAGAGCTCATCAGCAGTGCATATCCAATGGCCGTGCCGGGGTTTGAACTCCGGACACCTGACATGCGACGTGTCGGGCATACTAATCACACCGATCAAGTGCGAACACATTCACCCGTTCAGACGTGAAAATTCAGATGCGTCCAACGTGCGCTGGTGGAATAGTGGTAACACGTTCGCCTCGCATGTCAGGTGTCCGGAGTTCAAATCCCGGCACGGCCATTGGATATGCACTGCTAAATCGCTCTAACAAGAGCGAAACTCGAGTCCAGTGCTTCCCTACTTTGGTTTGGATTCACATGAATAATTGCGCCAGGACAGGAGGACGACTGTTCAAAACGAGTGATGCAAAACTGAACAGTACACCTCCGGCAAACCCCCCACATGCAAATACGTAAATCTCTCTGCAATGCTGTTTACTATGGCCCAGTAATTAGACGAGGCTGAGGCTGTAAAATGTCTTTCCAAAGAGCATGCCCGAATTACCGCAATCAGGTCTACCGTTCAATTCAAGGCCGTTTAAATCTTATATTTCTTGCCGTTACTGTGGCAGGCGTAATCCTCCATCACCCACAGGATACTAAGATTCAAAACTACTAACGTAGAGGCGGTCCGGTTAAAGGTAGTGCAGCACTCGCCCAACCGTGGTTACAGTAATCCTCGTCGTTGGCACCAGTCATGGTTGCCCTTCTGTATGCCATCGACCGCCTTGAAATTCACGCAGCTTTTAAGCACCAGGTTTTTAGACAGAAGGTACGTATCTGTAGCACTTGTGAACTGCTCTTTTTCATGCTCAGTGTCGTCTTCTTTTTTCCCATCATTATCAGTCACATCGCTGTCCAAAAGTTTGTTTTACTGAAATACAACCGCTACCGCCAGCTTGTGGGCTCCAACGTGACTTTGAGACTTTTGCTGAGTGACTGTTGTTGTGACCGCTGGTTGGCCATATTTGACCGCTGCTAACACTAAACGTGAACAAACATTTCAGATGCAAACACTGGACTAATATATTCACACTTGCGGATTAACATTTCGATCACCGGAGATCTGGAATGCCAGGAAGATAGAACTATTCTTGGTGTGGTGGTTCAACGGAATACGGAACCACGGAATCTCCTATTTTGAACTGTGAGTCAAGATTTACTTGGATTTTTCTCCTCGTGACTTTGTATCTGGCTTACATTGGTAGATTTCTCTGTTCACTAGAGACTCCATAGGACCGTTAACCACTACGTAATTGGTGATCCCGAACATTCTTGCTGTTTTCTATTTTTCTTGCTAGCTCAGAATTCCATATCTCTCACGCATACGCTTAGTTCAGTAATTTTTTTCAACCATGTCTAACGAAGACGGACTCAACACTGAGTTGGTTGAAAACGCCGTTCACGTAAAACTGCCAGCTTTTGGGGTCAGCAACCGTAGAATATGGTTTATCCAACTGGAATGTTACTCCCATTTCCGCCGAATTACCTCACAGCAGACCATGTTTTCTTACGTGAGGTTCTCAAATCCCCGCCGGGGGTGCCGCGGATGTTATTGACCTGATTAATCCTATGCCGGCATCAAATCTCTACACCACACTAAAAGCAGCAATTATTAAACGGATAATCACCTCGGACGAAGCGAATCTGCAAAAATTGCTTGCAGGGGTCGAACTGGGCGATCGCAAGCCTTCGGAACTGCTACGGTACAAGCAAAGCCTTGCATGCGGGAAGTCTTTTGACGACGCAATTTTAAAGCAGTTGTGGCTGCGGTGTCTCCCCTTAAGCACTCGCCAAATTCTGGCTACCCAGTCAGATGTCCCTCTGCCATCACTCGCTGAGACGGCAGATAAGATCCACGAATGCTTCGCCGACCGTTTGATAGCCTCAACCTCACAACAACCCATTCGGCGTAACGACAACCCTGTTATGGCTCGCCTCAATCGAATGCAGGCACAAATAGATCAACTGGTGGCCACGGTAAACAAGGTAGTCACCACAGCGGCGCGGACTAATACGTCACCCAAGTGCCGATCGGTTTCACGTAAACCGACCTCTCCATCTCGGAATCCCAACCGATTTCGCTATTACAACACAAAATTCAAAGACCAGGCCCTACGTTGCACACCTCCATGTGCTTACGTCTCCAATGACCAGGGAAACTCACTGGCCAGTCACCTGGTCGCCTCTACTACGTTACGGATAGAACCACCGGAATGCGGTTCCCCGTCGACACCGGTGGAGAACTTAGCGTTATTCCTGCTGGAAAGTCGAAACGCTACATTTCTAACCCGCTAAC